TTCCCCCCTTTTCGCCCGTCGACACATCGATCGCGAGCCGACACGTTGATTGCTTGGGATCCAGCCCGGCAGCAGCTTCCTATTGACTGGCAGCGGTCGGAGCCCTCGTCCGTTTCGTGCGCAGGGGGCAGATGCAGTGCTTGTGTCGGCCTAAAAGAGCGGGGTGGAGGTGAGCAGCTGTGGTCGGTACAGGGCACACTAACCTGCACCAATCTGCACCGTAAGCACCAATCTACACCGACTGCACCAATCTACACCGCGTGCACTAACCTGCACCGACTGCACCGATTGCACAGTCTACACCGATTGCACCAATCTACACCGCACCAATCCGAATCTGCACCAGTCTACACCGCGTGCCCCAACCCACACCGTCTACACCAACTGCACTGACTGCACCAATCTACCCTGGTGCTTATGGTCAGCAAGACCCAGCCTGAGCAAATGTTGCTGTCGCCATCAGCGCCTCGGCGACGCAAAAACCAGCCTCGACTTCACCCAGAGGCGTCAAGGCGGAAGAAATGGATGGCATCAAGGCCTTGTCAGAGGCTGTGTTTGACGCCGAGCAGAAGTTCAGTCCACCGCAGCATCCTTCAGCCCTCGTCTTCCAAACCATTGAACTCGCTCAAACCATTGAACTCGCTCATGGCTCTGGAGAATTGAAGCCGGAGCAGCCAGAGATTCGATCCTTGGACGAGGAAAGCCTCTGCAGCTGGTTCGCATCTCCCACGGAGCCGGGCGCGGCCACCCTCCGCATCGCCCACATCACCCGCAAGCTCGACGTCTCCCTGGAGATCTCGCAGAAGAGCTTCCTCAGCCTGCTGGCTACCATGCGAGCCGACAGTTGCGTCCGCTACTACATCTGCCACGACTACGACGGCTTTCACACACATGGCGGCGGTGGCGGGGCGGCCGCAACACCCTCCGGAGCGGGGGGCAGCAGCACGCTGACCACGCGCTTCCTCGGCACGTTGCTCTACGCCCTGGTCTGGACCTTTGACCCTTGCACGCTGACCACGCTCGTGCTCTTCCTCAACCGCCGCCTGCACACCTTCCTCGGCTTCGTCGACACGCTCCGCGCCCTGCGGCGGCACCTGGCCGCCGGCCCCTCGCTGCCGGGCTTCGCGTCGGGCCTGTTCCTCACCCGCGAGTTCGACCACCAGACGGGCCGCTGGGAGCTGGGGACGCTGCGCGAGGTCGAGACCGAGACTGGCTTCGGGCCGCACCCTCACGCCCGAGCCAACACGGCCCGCAACTTTGACATCCGGCAGCTCACCGACTGGGTCCAGGCCGTGGGCGAGGTCGGCGGGAACATGGACAACAGGATGCGGCACATGCGGGTGGCGAGGGGGGTGCTGGAGGTGGTCAAGTCCGAGGGCGCGGATCCGCCGGACCTCGAGTTCCGTGGCGGCGATGCGAGGCGGAGGTATCTTGAGGCCTCGGCGGCCCTCGCGGAGGCCGTGCCCGTCATGGACCGGCGCATGGCGACGTATATAGATTACCTGGCATACATGAGCGTCAGAGCGCAACGACTCTCGGCTGTGGTGAGCATTACCCATCTTTCCCGATGCCGCAACTCCCAAGGTGACATTGAGTGCTTACATGCTTACATGCTTACATGCGTCCAAAAAAAAAAAAAAAAAAAAAAACAAGCTCTTCGCACAACTCACCCACGTCGACGCCGGCGCGAGCATCAAGCTCGCGCGTTCCAGCGCAGAGGACAGCTCGTCCATGAAGACCATCGCAGCCATGACCATGGCCTTTCTCCCGGCGACCTTCTTCGCCGCCCTGTTCGCCGTGCCGTCGCTGCAGTGGAACGGCCAGGACAAGGTCGTGCAGGACAGCTTCTGGGTCTACTGGGCCTTTACGCTCCCCGCCACGGCGCTGGTGTTCCTGATATGGCTGCTAATGACCAAGAGGCAGTGGCTTGCGAGGCATCTCTCAGGCCTGGCTCGGGGGTCGTCGGCAAGCGAGATAATAGAGGCGAGAGAAAAGATTGTGTGATGCGGATAGGTTACAAACAAGGTTCAGACTGGCCACTTCTCCAACCACACAAGGCAACCGGCCCGCTGTTTCGGAGAGGGTGGGGCCTGGTTTTCAGAGGTCGTGAGGGGTCGCTGCGTCTCCCCCTCCCACTAGGTAGTTTATTGCGACTCTGTCGACGGAAAGCAAGCATGTTCTTTCTGTAACAAGTAAGAATTAGAGGCTAATTGGAGAGTGATCTCGATTCTCCTGTGGGGTCGAGGCAGCTTGATGGGATTTCTTCCTGCAGTTTCACGCCGCCCCCAAGGCACGGCGCGGCCGGCGCATTACTTTGTCGTACTGGACGAAATCTTCCGTCTGTAAACCTCAAACAAGAAATGCGGTCTGATGTACAGTAGGATCCAACAGTCCGGCCGTCGACGTGCCCAACCCAACAAGGTCAGCTGTTGTGCTTCCGTGGAGATGCCGTAATTACGGTAGTCCACCCTGAACTTGTCGAGAATGGTAAAATGAGAGTTCCCTGGGATTGGCGCCTGTCTTTAACAGTAGAAAATGAAATAATGCAGCTTAAAGAAAAAGGAGAAAGCTTGAAGAAAAGAAAAGAATGTTGGCCAAGGAAGAGAGGAGATACGCCATCTAAGCAACGGAGCTGAGGAGATACGCCATCCAAGCAACGGAGCTGAGGAGATACGCCATCCAAGCACAAGGTAGGCAGAGGTCAAGGAAAGACAAGAGCGTGCGTCTAAACGATGGTTACAGGCGCAGAAGCGGTGGGGTGAACTTTGGCATACCGACGGCGGCGGGAAACGGTGACGAGTTTAAACAGGATGAGTGTCCAAACACGGCTTCGGTGGACTGCCGAGAATGGCCACGCCGACATGGTTAAGCTGCTTCTCGACGACAAGGGTGCCGACGTGGAGGTTGCGGATAAAGACGGATGGACGTCGTTGATTGCGGCTTCAAGCAAGGGATATGTCGATGTGGTGGATATCGATTCGAAAAGATAACAATGACTGTGGACTGTGCGTGCACCCGGCGGACGGGTTTTAGTTTGAAGCTCTCGGCACACTTTCTCTTGGGCAAACTCGGCAGCCTCGATGCAGCACTTGACCGGTTGAACTGGCTACTGCTGCTTATACATACACGCGTGCGTGAACCGGTATAGCTGCCGAAACAAATGTTATTAGTAAAGATGCCTCGTCGAGTGGCCTTTTTTGGACACAGCAGCCGGGGGTTTGTCTCCGCTTAGCCGCGCTTTGTCACCGAGTTAGACGTAACCGCCCGAAGTTGTGGGTCCAGCTGAGGCAACGACAGTAGCTGCCATTTCTACATGCCACTCCATCTTGAAACCTCGATTCCCCGGCAGCCCATCACAGGACCTCTTCCCCTCCGTCCTCATCACCATGGCCCGCACTCAAGAGCAACCCGCTCCCAAACGCAATCGCCCACGTCTCTCTATACTCAAAGAAACGCCATCTGCACAGGTATGCATTCTGTCCATGATTGTATTGAATCATGGCCTAACTATTTACAGGAGCCACCAGTACAGCAATCGGTCGACGACACGCTCGAGCACAGCCCAAACCCAGACCAGAAGCGCCAACGGAAGCGCCAACGGACATGGCGCACCCCGCCTGCTGAGACCACGTTTGGCGAGCCAGCCATTGGCAGCGGCGACCCCGACCCGATTGCGTTCTGGCGGAAGGAGGGGCGCTGGCCAAAGGAACTGTTCCAGCCCAAAGACACAGGGGAGATGGTTCCCACCATGAAGGGTTTACTTGGGCGGAAGAAGTCCTCGTCCAACCTGTCCCGCAAGCGATCCAACTCTGCTAGTTCAACGCCGAGCGACCAAAAGCCGCATGAGGAGAAAAGCGCACCATACCGAGACCAGCGTTATGAAACTCTCCTCGAGGTCAAAGGTAGCTACATGGCCAAAGCTTCTTTGCCATTGCCCGATGCCAGCAAGGCCCTCTGCCAATCTCTCCTCGAGCAGACGCAGCCAATTCCCGGCGATACACTTTTCCGGGACGACATTTTCGAAACGACATGCCAGAAGATACACAACAAAAATGAGGCGCGAGTCATCCAAGATATCACTCGACTCATTGTTCCTTCGGCCGAGAGTCTCGCTACATTCGGTGCAAGCCACCTCGACATTTTGGTTGAGAGCGTCAACGAATGGTGGAACAATTCGGTCCCCTTTACCAGTCCTCGTCCCCAGCCGGACTATTCGGTCGGCTTTAGGCGGGGGGCATTCACCGACGAGCAGCTCGCCAAGCTATCGCCATTTATCGGCAATTTTATCTCCGGGGACCAGTCCTTTTTTATGGCCACGTACTACATGTACTTCCCATTCCTAACATGCGAGGTGAAGTGCGGCGCCGCGGCGCTTGATGTTGCAGACCGGCAAAACGCCCACAGCATGACCCTCGCGGTACGGGCTATGGTCGAGCTTTTTCGTGCTGTAAAGCGTGAGCGTGAAGTTGATGGCCAGATTCTCGCCTTCTCGATTTCGCACGACTATAGATCAGTGCGGATTTACGGCCACTACGCCGTAATTACTGAAAAAAATCCAACAAAGTATTACCGTCACCCGATCTACGAATTTTCTTTTACTACGCTGGACGGCAAGGACAAATGGACGGCATATCGATTCACCAAGAACGTTTACGATGTATGGATGCCCGCTCATTTTAAGCGCGTTTGCTCCGCCATTGATCAGTTGCCGTCCGAGTTGGACTTTGAGGGGTCCTTGATGCAGTCAGATGCTGGCTCCGTTTCAGAGCCCGTCGAGCAGGACGTCCAGTCTAGCAACGCTGAGCAGCAAGGGTTGACTCGAGACCCTCCTTTACAGGGCTAGGGGTGACAGAGGAGGAGGGGCTAGGGGGACAGAGGAGGAGGGGCTAGGGGTAAGTGAGGCCTTTATCACACCTTGACCCTGAAAGTAAGACTAACAAAACAGCACGCAGAAGTGATTTGGAGGCAAGTTTAAACTTGTTCGCCGTCCACATTTTCCAGATCCCATCCCCAAGTCGCTCGGATGCTGTCCCGTCTCGTGGCACAGGCACGCCATATCCTCACAGTTTGGGTCTTTGAGTGGGCTAGTTGGCTTCGCCCCCCTTCGCACTAAGGGGGGAGGGGACTTGTATCCGAAAATCACAAGCCAAGCAAGCACGCAGGTCACAGCGGTAAGCAAGTCCTACTGTTGCCCATTTCCCCACGGCAGAGTCTACGCTCCGTCGGCCCAACACCAGGCACCGTTTTGACAAGGCTCCACACGTTTCGCGAAAAGTCATCTTTTTGCTCCTCACTTCTGGTGACAGAAGAGAGTGCATACAAAGAGCATGGCTGGGAACACGAGGTATAAACAACCGCTTTGTGTAAATACAACAAAGGGGTTGTTTCCCCAAACGGACGCGAAACAGCACAAACAGCTGACAAAGGGTGTAAAAGTATATAAATGTCCAGGCAGCGACCAGCATCCATCCCACAGCGATATTCAGCATCACCTCTACATTGAGCATCGCCATCTCCGAGCAGACCGCAGCGATTCACACAAGACAAAAAACATCACTAGCGACAACTCCGCATCGCTCTTCATCTCTCGATATCGCAGCCGCAACGAAATTTCACCATGTCGGGAAGCTCGCTGAGGCCGATTCGCGAGGACAAGGAGGGCGTCGTCGTCGGCACTGCCGACGGGACTAACCACACCCTTTCGGACGAGCTAACCCCTGGCCATCGGGCCGCAACGCCCCGCGCCACGGCGGATGTCGGGGGCAGCAGCGACAGCGCGACGGCGGGCGTAGCAGAGGGCCAAGACACGGTCCCAGACGCGCCCGACGACGACGACGACGACGACGCCGCCGCCGCCGCCGCCGCCGCCGGCAGCGAGCGCGACCAACAAGACGCCGACGGCGGCATCCGCGGGGCGGAAGAGTCCGATCAGCCCATCTCGGAGGCCGAGCTCGACCAACTGCTCGAGTTCCTGAGGACGATCCGGAACGGCGAGGACATGGTGCCTTGGCAGGAGAACCTGAGACGGGAGCAGGGGGGGGGGACTGGGACTCGATCGCGCGCGCGCTGGGACGGCTCGCTAGGCATGCCGTCGTCCTGCACGACAGGATGGAGCTGACGGTTTCGGCCCTCGGCATCCCGTCGCTCGGCGGGCCCCTCGTCGAGGACCTGGAGTTCCTCGCCATCGTTCTCCGGGGGCTGGAGGTGGACGCGCGCGACGCCGCGAGACAGGAGTAAGAAGTGCATACGCCGACAAGCTGTGGCTGGTACGGGTCCGGGATGACGGCCCGGGCACGCGCGCGTGGGCTGTTCATAAAGGCCGCCATTTTTCCTACCAAGGAGAGCGGGGACACGTCAGCCTAAGCGGAGGATTGATGGGACTGCTGTGGAGGGGTTTGTAAGAAGAGTTTGGTCCTTGCGATAGGCAGGCTAGGTGAGGACGGCGCCGGGAGGATCCGGGCCCGTCATTGAGATGAACAAAATGAAATTTGCATTGCTTTCCGATACTTTTGCTGGTCATGTTCCCATACTTTCATGTTCCCATTTCATGTTCCCACAAGTTTACCAAATCGGGCTGTAAGAAAAGGCCATGGATCCGACCCAGCGTCAGAACATAAACCCCAAAGGCTGCCTCGACCCCTCGGGAGAATCAGGATCACTCTCCAAGTAGGAAACCCTTGAGGAGTACTGAACAGTAGCACGTGATTTGACAAATCAGGCCGACTTGGAGGAGTTCAGTCATCTGGTGGTCTACGATGACATCCCCGAAGGTGGGCAGACCAGCTACCCTCCCAACAACCACGATCTTGCTCTGCGGGAGCGGGAGTTGGCCATCCGACAGCGGGAACTTGCGTTGAAAAAACAAGAGATGAGAATGAGGCGTGGCCCCCTTCCTGGACCTCCTCGCAGGGGCCCTACGCCCTCCCTCCGCGGCCAACCCCACGGCGGCGGTGGGTTTAACGACGACGACGAAGATGACGATTACTTTGATCCTACCGGGCCGCCGACTGGTCTTCGTATCGACCCCGACAACTTGGACATGATGAGCGTGACTTCCAAGAAGAACCGCAGGATACCGAGCGCGTCCAACTCGCGTAAACCCGATTAACGCGCCATCTCGAGGCGGCCGATTCCGGCCGCACTTTGGCAGCAGAAACCGATCAAGCCAGCAGCTGATGAGCCAGTCAATCAACCTAACTGACAACATTTTGGATGGTTACTCGAAAGCCAACTTGGATTGACTAATACCGGTGCATCTATCAAGAACTATCTAGAACAGTAGGAAACCCTTTGTTACAGTCAGGCCTCTGCTCCCAAGGTAGGTGTGTGAGGTGGGTCACATGACATCCCACAACGCTAGTATTTAGTCCTGGGATCGTTGGCTTTCCTTTGCTGGCTTTCCTTTGCTGGCTTTCCTTGCTGGCTTTCCTTTGCTGGCTTTCCCTCAATCCGACAGGTTGCACCTCCGACAGTAGGGCACCGGAAGAGTACTGAACAGTAGCACGTGATTTGACAAACCGGGGGATTCACAAAAATCTTGGGTGTGGTTTAAAAGGCTTGCTCCAAGGGGTGCTTGGAAGCCAACTTGTGCATCTATCAAAAACTATCTAGGACAGTAGGAGATCCCTTCTGTTACAGTCAGGCCTCTGCTCACAAGGTAAGGCACCTGAGGAGTACTGAACAGTAGCACGTGATTTGACAAATTGAGGGGATTTACAAAAATCTTGGGTGCGGTCTAAATGCTTGTTACCCGGAAGCCAACTTGGATTGACTGCCGGTGCATCTATCAAGAACTATCTAGGACAGTAGGAGATCCCCTTCTTTTATACCCAGGCCTGGCAGCGCACCAGTGCTTCTGCCAAGAGCCCGTGATCTGTGATCTGTGGAGGGATCACAGGCTTAGCTAAGGCCATCGCGTGACCTCTTTCGGCACCGGCTGAACCTGTGCCCCTCGTCTGTCTCGTAACACCTTCCTTCTTGTGCCCAGGCTCATAACACCTTCCTTCTTGTGCCCAGGCTCTTTCCCTTTGTCCTGGGTGGTGACCTTCCTTCTCAGGCTCTTTCCCTTTGTCCTGTGCCCTAGGGCCGTGTCAGGTGACAAGGCGGGGTGATGCTCACCCGGCTGCCCTGGCTGCCACACCTCGGGCCTCCCTCCTGGGCCATGTCTGTTGGTTGTAACAAAATGAATGCCAGTGCATCTATCAAGGGCTATCTAGGACAAAAGGAAATCTCTTACTGTAGTGCTTTGCACCATTTGCCTTGAGAGATCTGTGGCTCTGTGCTTTGGGATCACAAATCCAGAGATTGGGCCATCACGTATTCCTTTGTAGACTGGGAAGGCGCGGTAGCTGCCCTCAAAGTTGTGGCCCCAGCCGCCTTCCCCCTTTGCTCCTGTCTGTTGGCGTGGTCGGTCGTAACAGCCCGCGAGGGACCGCTATCCCAAAGGGCTCATGCCCCTTTTTCGGTAACCCTAACTGTTGCCTAGAATTTTCGTCCACAACTTACATCGCCCGAACAAAATTCCAATTCTCTTTCATTCATTCTTCATCATGAACGAGGCGGCTCGACACGAACCTCGAGACCCCTTTATTACCTGCCGCGAAACAAGCACGACTATTCGAGACGAACCTGCAGACGTCGGACAGACCGACGCAATTTCCGAGTTGGCTCGAGTCCATCGGATCAGACCAAGAAGAGCGCTGCCGGTCAGACGATGCTCTTTAGCCCTCGGACCCCTTTGTTGCTCGTGAGGCTAGCCTTTTTACACTCACCTCATTCCACACTCTTCTCAAAGTCCCAAGCGGCCCTCCTTACCTAGTGCCAGAATGGATTTCCAGCTAACCTGGGCGCGCAGTGCTGGGCCACCCCAATCTGGACAAGATAGAGACATGCTCTACAGTGCCCTGCTCCCTCCCGCACGACGGCTTCAAGACCCTCCAGCGCAGGACCAATCTCGAGTTCTGCCGCGTGTAGACAGCTACCTTGACCACTCGAGCGACGAGAGTCCTCCACACCGGCTCCCGCCCCAGTTGAGTATGATCCCACAGCTCCCATTCACTGTCCATCTCGGAGGCGACGACAATGTACCCATGACCAACACGGCCCTCTGCTTCGTCCCTCGGTCGAAGATGTGAGCGACGCCCCTGGCTATAGATGTCATCAGAGCAAGGCTGACAAGGACAACCTTTTTCAGGTCATAAGGCGGCGTCTGCCCTCGAGGCACGCAAGACTCGAGTCCCCATCTCGGGAGCAAAGGCTGAGGAGGCGGCGTCTGCCCTCGAGGCACGCAAGACTCGAAGGTGTCGAGTCCCCATCTCGGGAGCGGCTGAGGACATTGTCCATGTCGCCCAGGTCTCGGAGAAGCCGGTCAAAGTAAGTGTCTTGTCTCTTCTCAACTCCTCTCCGGACCTCATGAAGCCAGCGACAATGGCATCATACTCCTGGCACCCAACGCGGGACTCGAACCGCAGCCTTTGGATTACAAGTCCAAAGATTAGCGCCACGGATGGCCTACAACCGAGATGCAGATGGATAGCCGGATCATTTGACCGTCGATGGTCAGGCGACACGGGCGCCCCTGGCTCGAGTCGATCATGGCTCGAGTCGATCAAGAGCTCGAGTCCAGAACCTAGCTGCAAGCGGCATGTATATGCGCGAGAGGTACGAGCCATTCCCTCAACACATGCCACCGTTGTTGATTACGCAAGAAGCGTGATTCTCCTGGGCCGTCGCCTGACGACGTGTACCGAGACATGGACCTTGCGGCCCTTGAGACAGGGGCTCGACGAACCAGTAGACAGCCAATGTCTAGACATGCCGTACCGAGCTCCGCCCAGACCAAGCTCAGAGTCGGCAACACGGATACAGTCGCCATCATCATTCCCCAAGCAGCAAACGCCTGGCGTCCCCCGATCCAGGTTGTCTCGCCGGCATCCTCCCGCTGATTTGGCGGATGCTCGACTGGCGTGGGCGTTTGACCGCTTCTCTGGCACCAGCATTGGAACTGGGACGTTTACCAGACTTGCCCTCCAATTGTTCCTCGTTAAGAGAGCCCTGTATCAGTATTTCTCGTCCGACTCGCTGGACAAGGAGAAGGTTAGTCTCACCCCAGATTCCGTGAGAATGAAGCTTCCTTTGCTAACCATGTGCCCGGCCTACTTTCCAGTGCATCTCCGAGGTCCTGCACTTTGCTCCGGCCTGCCCATCATCCTTGTTGGCTGCGGGTGGGTGTCTCCCGATGCTCTTCTGATCTTTGGCCAGGGGCCAGCGGTCTTCAGAGCCACGATTGAGGAGCTCCGCAAGACGATTGAGGAGCTCCGCAAGACGAGCCAGAAGCCCGTCTCGCCCGAGGATGTATGTTTACCCGCAACACTGCTCACAGTGACACATGGCCTTGAGCGACAACTAACCACATGTTGTTGCACCACAGGGCGAGGAGGAGCTCCGCAAGACGAGCCAACAAACGACTCCTTGGGGCTCAGTGGACTCTTGGCCTCGTCGCCGTCTTTTTCGTCCTTGAGGGTGGGTGGTGTTGGCGACATGTTGTTGCACCACGGGGCGAGGAGATCAAGAAGAAGATGGGCGCGTACAAGTACCTTGAGTGCTCGGCCAAGACCAACGAGGGAGTCGGCGCGGAAGGGCGCTGTTTACGAGGTCACCATGGTAAGTTCCTTTATCGGGTCGCCCCCCTTCCTTTATCAGGTCGCCCCCTCTTCCCCCCCCTCCCCCCTTCCCCCCCTTCCCCCCCCTCCCCTCCCCCCTCCCCTCCCCCACTCCCGACGTGGCTGGCGCCTGACCCTTGGGCAATAGTGGATACACGAGGAACTGCCGGACCTTGCACGCTCACCGTCCTCGACGCAGGCGGCCGGGGTCCTTGATCGGGATGACGTAGGAGCAGATGCGCCTCGGCACCATGCAGGATGCAGCCACGGGACGGAGAAGTTGGTGACCACGCCGCACCATTCACCAAAACAAGACCAAGAAGCACAAGAGGATCCTCTTGACCCAGGACGAGAAGATGTCTTTTGGCCGCCACGGTGCCCTGCGAGATGCTCTGCCTCGCGAGTCTCGGCCCAGGCGTTGTGCGACGGCGCCTTGGACACGGACTAGGAGTCGAGGACCTCCTCACGCGGCCCGACCGGCAATACCAACTACGTCGAGCTCAAGTGGAAGGAGGGCTTTGAGAAGCGGTGCATGTTGCCTGGCACGGCACGCTCGAGGTGGGCGGGCTGCGCGGCGGGTGCGTCGGCAGACTGGCCGGTGCTTTCCACGCGGCGCTGCAGAGCTACATGCAGGGCAACAGCGAGTCGGTGTTTAGGAGCAACTACCAGGCGCACCACGTGGCTGAGAAGCTCATGGCGCTCGGCTTCGGACGCTTCGTCAAGCCCTTCAACCGCCCGGAGCGCCGCGATTTTAACCTCGCCGACCAATTGGTGAACAAGCCGGGCGAGTGGGCAGCCCACACGGGAACGCATTACAGCACGGTCGGACCTACTGCGCGAGGCCGGGCGGCCGGTCCCGAGTCTGCGACGACCCAAGGCGTGCGCCCAAGATCATAATCGACGGCTACAACCTGCAAATGGGCGAGGCAGATGCCGGTCACCTTTTTCGCCGGGCGGAAGGACGGCGGCGCCAATGCAGGTCCCTGATCCATTGTCGGCGCGTGCACACACCAGCGTACTCTAGCGTGCACTCACCAGCGTGCACACTTCAGCGTGCACACACGGGGCAGGGCAACAGCGTGGATGGCGCACGAGGCACAGCTTCATTCCGCGACGGACAGACCGGCCGGGAGACGGGCGCCGGCCCTGTGCTTGCTTTCCCAGTGCTTGCTTTCCCTCGTCTTTTTCTTTTTCCAGGCCCGTTTTCCCCTTCTTCCTCCTCTTCTGCTTCCAAACACGCAGCACGTTTTGTTTGCTTGGTGAGTGTGCAAAGCCCGTTCTGAAGCCAGATTCCTTTGCCAGCTCGGATTTGATCCTGGCGCTGTGCCGTAGTGGTGGTTGGGCCGCATTGTCGTCTCGCCGCCGCGTCGGGGGGTCCAGGCATCAATTGGCGAGTAATCGTCGGGCCGCTGAAGCTTGGGGGGATCCGAGCTTGGGGGGGATCCGAGGTGCGCTGAAGCTTGGGGGATCCTGCGTCCCAGCCCCAGCGGTCGCATCTACCTGAACGCGAGATTGGAGTGGGCTAGGGCCTTGGCCGAGTCAACGCTGCAAGTGGCACGGGTGATGCAGTCACTGGACCGGCCATAGACATGGCATGATGAGCCCGACATACAACCCTGCAGCCGTCCCGACCGACAATGGCAGCCGCCCCTCTCCATTTCAATCAAGTGAGTCTGCTCGCCTCCCCGCCTTCGAGGCAGTGGGTACCTACGTACGTACCTACCTACTTACCTACCTGTGCATAGGTAGCTTCAGTGGCGTCGCTGCTGTCCCCCCGACCGCGAATTCCAAGCCCGCGCCAACAGCCTTTGTTTTGCTCCAGCCGCGACATCAACAACCAACCCGATAGACCAACACGACGCTCCGCCTGGCCTCCTGGGTCCAGCGCCAATATGCGCCCTCCGCGGATCGCCATTCTCATCCTCTTCTTCTTCGCATCCCTCTTCCTCTTTTGCCGGTCCATCACCTCGGGTCGCAAGTCTTCTCCCACCCATCGCCCCACCGTGTCCGACGGCCCTCCCGCCAAGTCGGCCTTCCAATCGCTATTCTCCTTCTCGACGCCCTTTACGCTGTTTCCGCCAAACGCCGTCATCTCCCTGACCGACGACAACAGCACCTCCTTCCAGGCCCGCCCCGCCGCCTTTGGACCGCCCCTGCCCCACAACGGCCTGAGCGGCCAGCTATGGATCGGCAGTGGTTTCGCCGACGATAACCTTCCCGACAGCGAGGGCGAGGGCGAGCTTGGCTGCAGCGACGTGCCCGGATGGGAAGACGGCACATCGGGTCTAGCCGCCGTCATCCCCACGAAGAAGTCCTACCCCAAAGACTCCAAGCTCCTCGCCCAGTCCCACACCAAGTCCAAAAACTCCAAGAGGGCAGCAGACTCCAAGGCTGTGCACCGCCAGTCGAGGCTTTCGCAGTCTTCGAAATACCGTCACTTTGATGACGGCACCCATGACGGCACCGATGACGGCACCGATGACTATCTGCATCAGGGCCTGCAGCGCTCGTCGTCCGTCTCCCGCAAGGAGACTCCGCCCTCGGGCACGACACACGCCGACATCCAGTCCATCCAGGAGTCTGCCGAAATCACGGGCAAGGTTGCGCTTCTCAGCCGAGGTGGCTGCGGCTTTCTCGAAAAGGTCAAGTGGGCTCAGCGCCGAGGTGCCGTGGCCGTCATTGTTGGCGACAACACCAAGGGTGGCCCACTGATACAAATGTTTGCTAGAGGTGACACATCAAACGTCACCATTCCCGCCATCTTCACCTCGCGCATGACGGCAACAATCCTGTCGTCTCTGGTGCAGCCCGGGAGCTTCATCGAGGATATACTTGATGAGAACGGGAACGCCGTCGTCAAAGTCCAGCAGTCAGACAAGGGCCGCGTTCACCGCAGGATCAGAGGCCAGGGCTCTGTCGTCGGCATGAGTGCATCTTCTACCCCAAACATCAAAGCAAATGTCCCTAGAAAGCCCGTCAACGAAGCCTCCGCGTCATCCACTCGGCCACGGAGCCGTGGATGGTTCAGCAAACTGTTTCATTGGGGTAGCGACTCGGATGGGGTATCTGGCAAGAACTGGGTTCTCGTCAACGACTGGAGCGATGAAAAGGACAATGCCATTAGGAACAGCATGGAGAAGGCTTCCAACACGAGAACCAACGTTGGCGAGGATGACGACTTTGTCATTGGTGTGCAAGATTGGCGCGATCCAGACCTCGTCGGCACACCTTCTCAACCCAAGGAGTCAAGTTTGGGACACGCCAAGGCGCTGCCGGCAGGGAACGTGGTCGAGGGCCCCGGCTCCCAAGGCCGCGAGGGGCTCTGGGTGACAATCACACCGGCGAGCAGCGCTAGCCCCTTTTTCGACACACTGCTCGTGCTCGTTGTCAGTCCGCTGATCACACTGAGCGTCGTCTACGCACTTCTCATACTACGCGCAAGAATCAGGAGGCGACGGTGGCGGGCACCAAAGTCGGTCATCGAGCGCCTTCCCGTCAGAACCTACCACACGGTTGCATCTTCGACTGCCCAATCCTCGCGGATACCCTCTCCAACGAGCTCGTCGCCGACGACGCCATTGCTGCAGCACCAGCATCTGCCCCAATCACAAACAACCCAAGCCCAGCCACAGCCACATGCACCACAGCCACAAACACAGCAGCAGGCGTCTCCCTCTCGCCCACGCCCGAGGTCACGCACCACGACCGATGTTCCAGACTCGGGCTCAAGTTCGCTGCTCAGGGTGGATTCGGATCTGCAGGCGCCACGGACACCGTCACGTCCAGAGCACGAGAAATCGGCGGCCCACCGCCCGAGCCAGTGGAAAAAGTACATGGGTCGTCAGGTCGAGTGTGTCGTCTGCCTGGAGGAATACGTCGACGGGGTCAGCAGAGTCATGAGCCTTCCGTGTGGTCATGAATTCCACGTGGAGTGCATGTAAGTCCATCATTCCAAGTTTCCACGGCGCTGTCGGGGGGGATACCTCCAGCTCTGTGCTGGCTTATCCGGCCTCCAGCTCTGTGCTGGCTTATCCGGATGTCTAACCCTAACCTTTCCCCCCTCTTGCAGAACGCCCTGGTTGACTACCCGCCGCAGAACATGTCCAATCTGCAAGGGCGACGTTGTCAGATCGCTTGCCCGCGGCTCTTCATCGAGCCCGCGGTATGAGGCCTACCGCGACGACAGCGATGATGATGATGCCGAGGCCGAAAGCTCCGGTTCTGGGTCCAGTAGCAATGGGGCTGCTTCGCCAGAGCGCGACAGCGACTTGGAACGTGGGATTCTGGTGCCCGCCGACTCGCAGCGTGCTCGCCGCTCAAATCGGGCCGACGGCTGGCTCGGCCTGCTTTCCAGCAGCCTCGGCGTCGTCACGTCACGCTCCAGGCGAGACTCGCAGGAGGATCGCCGAAGCCGCTGATAACACGCTTGACAGACGCTTGACAGACGCTTGTACATCTCTAATTGTGCTCATTCTTTTTTGCGCTCTTTTGTCCTCTTTTCCGTGTGTTTAGGCTTTTTGCCTTGTAAAAAGAAGTAGTAGTTAGACTTCCGATAGTGGGACAGGGCCCCATAAAAAAGATCGTGCTGCTGACGTAACTTTATGCCCGAGGCAACAACGTCAGTCAATCTGCGAAACATGGTTCGAGTCCATACAATGCAACCGATCCCCGTGCAATTGATCCCCTCCTCTATCCTCAAGACACTATCGCAATCGACGCAAAACACAATGCTCCCCAAACACCAGGTTCTGCGCGCCGCCCCGCGCTTTGCCGCGCAGATTCGGGCCCCGCGTTTTGCCGCGCAGATTCGGGCGCCGGTCCAGCGCCGCTTCATGAGCTCCCCAGGACCGAGCACCGAGAGCGCCTTTGTCCGCGAGCGCCGCGCCGTCAAGGAGCACGCACACGCCAGCACTGGTAGGCCCCTCCCCGACGGTGTCTGGGAAGCCCCAATCTCGTGCCAACCGGCGAGCGCGAATACAGGTGCTGACTGAAGCTACTCCCCACAGAGCTGTGGCGCAAGATATCTCTTTAGTGAGCGCCCCTACTTTTTCCCTCGGGGGGATACGATCTGGTCTCTGGACTGACGACAAACTCCACAGCGTGGTCCCCGTTGCCCTGGCTGCCTCTGCGGCCAACGCCTACTACCTGTGGAACGAGCACTGGGAGCACTGGTCTCACATGCCCCCTCTGGAGGAGCGCATCGAATACCCCTACCAGAACATCCGCACCAAGAACTACCAGTGGGGTGATGGCGACAAGACCATTTTGTACGTTGACCTCTTGTCTCTGTTCGCATGCATTCCCGGACGCCTCATCACATGTGGTTTCGTAGCTGACATTTCTCGGCCTACTTTTACCCCAGCTGGAATGACAACGTAAACTACCACAACAAGGACAAGACCACTTAGGCAAAGGAACATCTGTTTCTGGGGCTTGAAGGAACATCTGCCCCTGGGGCGCTGACTTGTAGCGCATCTTCTTCACTGGCTAGGTAGCAGCAAAAATACATTCAATCAACCACGCACTCTAATCTGCACCGCGATACCTTCCCATCGCTCGTCCAATTCTATTGGGTGCACGTTGTGCACAGGCCACATTCACAAAAGTGGGGAAGAGGAACCCACCCAAGGAGTGGGCCACCTTGCTTAATCATCTTCCCCCACCACACAATCTTGCGAAAAAAATCACCTCCCAAAAAAAACACCACCTCTGTCCATCACCACCTCTGTCCATCACCACCTCCTCTCCAGAACAAACAAAAACACCTTGACCACCCCCCCTCTCGAAACCATGGGTGTCAAGCCAAGCTACTCCAAGACCGCAAAGGTCCCACGCAGACCCTTTGAAGCGGCTCGACTGTGAGGCCACTGAACCGGGCTTGCCCGTTTTCACGTCTTTAGTCAAACTGACCATTTGTTCCTCAATCCAGGGACTCGGAGCTGAAGCTCGTTGGCGAGTTTGGTCTCAAGAACAAGCGTGAGGTCTGGCGTGTCCTGCTCACTCTGTCCAAGATCCGTCGTGCTGCCCGGTATGTCAAACCACATTTCCCGCCCCCCGAGAGCCCGCTAACAGCACACATAGTCAGCTTCTCACCCTCGATGAGAAGGATCCCAAGCGCCTGTTCGAGGGCAACGCCCTGATTCGCCGTCTGGTCCGCGTCGGCGTCCTGGACGAGTCGCGCATGAAGCTCGATTACGTGCTGGCCCTCAAGGTCGAGGACTTTCTCGAGCGTCGCCTGCAGACCTGCGTTTACAAGCTCGGCCTCGCCAAGTCGATTCACCACGCCCGTGTTCTGATCCGCCAGCGTCACATCCGTGTCGGCAAGCAAATCGTCAACGTCCCCTCGTTCATTGTCCGCCTCGACTCGCAGAAGCACATTGACTTTTCTCTCACCTCGCCCTTTGGCGGCGGCCGCCCCGGTCGTGTCCGGAGAAAGAAGGCCAAGGCCGCCGAGGGTGGTGACGACGCCGGCGACGAGGAGGACGAGGAGTAGAGTACCGGGAGGCTTTGGAAGCCAAGATCACTAGGTCGGGAGGCTTGGAAGCCAAGATCACTAGGTCGGGGCTTGGAAGCCAAGATCACTAGGTCGGGAGGCTTTGGAAGCCAAGATCACTTTTCTTACTGACCGTCTCGGAAAAATGGTCATTCATCGTTGATTCACGGCGTTTGGGCCATGGCAAGGGCATGTAGTGGAATGAAGCCATGCATTGGAGCCGGATTTTGCTCTCAATACAATCAAATCCTTGACCTCATTTTTGACCTCATTTGTCGTCCTACCAAAAAAGAATCATGTGCAACCACACGACACCAAAGCGCTCGCTCTACTTGGCCCAGTCAGGGCCCGCTCTACTTGGCCCAGTCAGGGCCCGTCGATACGGACCCGTCGGGGTTGACTGTTTTTCCACGGTCCCATTGTCTCAACTCCCCCTTCTTGGACCAGCAAAAGTCGTCCGCATGGGCATCCCCGCCATCACCTCGCCCGGTGCCGGCTCCTCGCTCCCACTTTTGAATCTGCGTCTCGGTGAAGCCAGCGGCACGGAGTCTCTCGGCACCCTGTGCCTTCCACTTTTGCCGATCCCTAAATGCCTCGGCCATATCATCCCACCCTCCTCCCTTGTCGGACGTGGGATCATACGATTCCGAGAAGCGGGCATCTATGCCGGACGCGGGTGCTGTATTTCCTCGTCCACGAGCCGGCAATGACGGCGGGAGGGAACCGAGTCCACGAGCTAGCAATGACGGCGGGAGCCCTTGTCGACGGTCGTGTGTTTCGCCATCGTCATCATCACCCCCCAAAGGAGAGCGCTCTCTTCCGTGTCGACGGTCGTGTATTTCGCCATCATCCCCCCCCAAAGGAGAGCGCTCTCTTCTGTACCGACGGCCATGTCCTTGGCCACCACCATCTGGCGAGCATGATCGGCGTCTCTCCCGCCCGTGGTCCCTTTCACGGCCACGGCCATGAGAAGACGACGCCCTCCTCCTAGCCTTGTTGCTCCCGCAACCGCCGCCATGGAGAATCGCCGAGATGTCGCGCATCTGCCGCCGACGCACCTCGTGGGGCTCTGGTCGGTGGCGTCGGCGCTCACGCAGCCGCAGCTCGGTCTCGCGCAGCTCCTGGAGCCGGGCCCGAGACTCGGCGGCCTCCTTGGCCAGAAGCGCCGCGTTGTGGTTCTCGGTCGTGCGAATGATGTTGCGCAGGAACCTCGTGTTGGGCTTGGGCTTGTTCTCGGGCCTGCCGTCCCAGCGCAAAGTCAGGCCATGCTGTTACAAGAGGACAATTAAACGGCCGGAGGCCTACCTTGCTCTCCTGGAGTCATCGTTGGCTTCGCTTATAAGCCTCTCGGCGACAGCATCGTCCGTGAGAAGGAAGCCGTGCTTCGACATGGCGGCCAAGCAAAGGTGTCTAGGTAGATCGATAGGTAGGTAGATCGGTAGGTAGGTAGATCGGAGGTAGGTAGATCGGTAGAGAGGTAGATCGGTAGTAGGTAGGTCGGTAGGTAGGTAGATCGGTAGAGAGGTAGAGAGGTAGAGAGGTAGTATGTTGGTAATTGGATCGAGCTCCTCAACAGTTTAGAGCGCAAACACAGCCGGGTGGGGTCGCGATTGGGTGGGGCTTTGCACTGCTCTAGAATCGGCCAGATTGATCGAGGGAAAGTAAACACAGGACGCGCAAACCAGCCGGAATTGAAAAGATGCCCGAAACCAACAACCCCGCCAAGGTCGCCACTCAGCTAGACGCTCTTGCTTCCAAGCACGAGCTCACCGTCGTCCGTCTGAGCGAGCCCATCACCAGCGCCGTGGAGCAACTAGAAGCGGCCATCGGCAACAACAACCCAGGCGGCACTACAGCACGTACATCAGACATCTCGACGGCGTCGCTCGACGCGCCGACGCCGGCGTCTCTCGAAGCAGACCTCACGCACTACAAGGAGCTATTCGCCAAACTGCGCTTCAGCTATGTGGAGCAAGTCACCAAGGAAAAGTTCATCCGCGCCATCGTCGGCGACCCGCCATTAATCGTGGACCCGGCCGAGAACGCAGAGCTGGAGGCGCTCAACGCCCAAGCCAAGGCGGAACTGAAAACACTCAAACGCCAAGTCGCGGAGCTCGTGGCCGAGCTGGAGCGCCAAGGTGCAGAACTGGCGCGCCAGCACATGCGCGTCGGGCTCGAGAGGGTGCAGCTAGCTAAACTACCAGATCAGATGGCGCAGCTAGAGAAGGACGTGGCCACGCTGAGACAAGCGAGGCAGGATCGCCAAGACAAGCATGCCACGGACCCGGAGCTGCGGCTACCAATAGGCAAGACGGCGGCACTCGCAGAGCAGCGCGAGGCAGAGGCACGAGACCTGGAGCGGCAGTTGGGGCAGCTGCGCGGGTCGGCGGCGCCGCGCAAGCGCAAGGAGGCGGAACGGCTGCGGGCGGAGCTGGCGCCGCTCGAGACCATGCGACAGGCCTCGACTGCTGCGGCCCAAGAGGCGAAAAGAAGAAAGGAGGCGGCCTTACGAGGCGGCGAGGACCATCTCGAGGAGCGCGGGAGGTGGTGGCGGACATCAGAGACGCTGTTGAAGCAGATGCTCGATATCAAAACCTGAGGCCTATGCTCCTGTCACTATTTCAAACACTCCATGGAACGTCATGCTCTTGCCCGATATGCGCACCCACAAGCACTTGAGGTACCTGGTACCTATCTCAACATACATAACACTCCATGCAATCCCAATATAAATTTGCCTGATCCTCCACTACAACACCAACTTTTCCCCTTCCTCACTTCCTCACCTGCTCCCCTGCTCTCTCAAAGACCCCGCACGCTGGTTGCCTGGTGGGGAGTTGGCCCACGTCCGTCGGCTGGCGGCGATCCACTTTCCGGCGGCCTCGCTTTCCTGATTGGCCAGCCTTGGCCGTGGCTGAATTGTGTCAAGGCTGACGACGTCTTTGCTCCACATTCATTATCGTGCTCTTCCTGCCTGGTGCCTTCCTGCCTTCCTGCCTGGTGCCTTCCTGCCTCTGCCACTCTCCGCCTCTGCCACTCTCCGCCTCTGCCACTCTCCGTCTCCGTCGCAGGTTATTTCCCCCGCAGACCGCAGCTGCATCATCCTAGCCACACCTCGACAGAGCTCCTCCAGAGCTGCTCCAAAGCTCCTCCATTCATCACTGCCCGAGCGATGCGTCGCCGCTCCTCGGAGCTTGCCTGTCCCAATCCCTCCTCTCCTATACGCGCCTCACGCCGCTCCATCTGACCTCTCGCTCTGATTCGTGTCCCTGTACCGCCCGCCCAATATGGCCACCGTCCGCAGCCTCGATCATGCAAAGTCCGTGGATGCCCTCTCCCCGCCGACGCGCGTGCTGTCACTTGCCGTGTAGCCACCCGCACACTGCCGTGCTGACATGCCGCAACCCAGGTCCGAAACGGAGCTCTCGGTCAACGTTAGGAAAGCCACCAGCCCCGAGGAGTCGGCACCCAAGCGCAAACATGTCCGCAGCTGCATCGTCTACACCTGGGACCACAAGTCGTCCCAATCCTTTTGGGGCGCCATGAAAGTCCAGCCCTTCCTCGCCGACGAGGTCCAGACCTTCAAGGCTCTCATCACGGTTCACAAGGTACTCCAGGAGGGCCATCCATCTACCCTGCGCGAGGCCATGGCCAACCGCTCCTGGATCGACAGCCTCAACCGCGCCGTGGTTGGTGAGGGACTGCGCGGGTACGGCCCTCTGATCCAGGAGTACGTCTACTTTTTGCTAGCCAAGCTCTCCTTCCACCAGCAGCACCCCGAATTCAACGGCACGTTCGAGTACGAGGAGTACGTGAGCCTCAAGGTCATTAACGATCCCAACGAGGGCTACGAGGCCATTACCGACCTCATGACCCTGCAAGACAAGATTGATCAGTTCCAAAAATTGATCTTTTCCCACTTTCGCAACGTGGGCAACAACGAGTGCAGGATATCCGCACTTGTTCCTCTTGTCCAGGAGACATATGGCATCTATAAATTCATCACCAGCATGCTCCGCGCCATGCACTCGACAACGGGTGACGATGACGCCCTAGAGCCGCTCCGAGGGCGTTATGATGCCCAACACCACCGCCTCGTCCGGTTCTACTACGAATGCTCGAACCTCCGGTACCTGACCAGCCTTATCGCCATCCCGAAGCTGCCACAGGACCCTCCGAACCTGCTCTCCGAGGACGACACGGCCCCGGCGCTGCCTGCGAGGCCAAAGCAGGAAATCGAGCGGCAACCGACGCCTCCGCCACAGCCCAAGAACGAGGAGCCAGGAGTCATAAATGACTTTTGGAGCACACAGCTCGAGGAACAGAATCGCGAGTACGAGGCCCAGCAGCGCGCACTCGAGGAGCGCCAGCGCCAGCAGATGCAGGCGCAGGAGCAGGCCGCTCTGCTCGCCCAGCAACAGTTCGCCGAGCAGCAGCGACGGCTGGCAGAGCAGCAGCAACGAGAACACCAGGCGCTTCTGGAACAGCAGGCGAGAATGGCCACCCAGGGGCGCCTTGCCGAGCTGGAACAGGAGAACCTGCGAGCAAGAGCCCAGTACGAGCAAGACCAGCTGATGCTACAACAGTACGACCAGCGCGTCAAGGCACTCGAAGGGGAACTCCAGCACGTCCAGGGCAGCCTGGGTCAGCAGATGAGCAGCAAGGACGATCAAATCCGGGCGCTGCAGGAACAGGTGAACACGTGGCGCACAAAGTACGAGGCCCTGGCAAAGTTGTATTCCCAGCTGCGCCACGAGCACCTTGACCTCCTGCAAAAGTTCAAGTCGGTCCAGCTCAAGGCGGCCTCTGCCCAGGAGGCAATCGAACGGCGAGAGAAGCTCGAGCGGGAGATCAAGACGAAAAACCTTGAGCTCGCCGACATGATCAGGGAGAGGGACCGGGCCCTACACGACAAGGACAGACTGTCGGGGTCCAGCAAGGACGAGGTCGAGAAGCTCAAGCGCGAGCTCCGCATGGCGCTCGACCGCGCCGACAACCTCGAGCGCAGCAAGGGCAACGAGCTGTCGACCATGCTGTCCAAGTATAACCGGGAGATGGCGGATCTCGAGGAGGCCCTGCGCAGCAAGTCGCGCGCCCTGGAGAATGCGCAAAGCAAGCTCAGGGACGGCAGCTCCGATATCGAGCAGCTCCTGCGCGAGAAGGAGGAGGAGCTCGAGGTGTACAAGGCTGGCATGGACCAGACTCTGATCGAGCTCAACGAGCTGAGGGAGAACCAGGGCGCGACGGATACGGCCCTGGACGGACAGATTGATGCCCTCATCATGTCAAACCTGGACAAGATGAACGAAATCATCGACTCTGTCCTCCAGGCCGGTGTGCAGCGCGTCGACGACGCTTTGTACGAGCTCGACTCGACCATGCAGGCCGGCAACCAGAACGCGTCGCCGACGTACGTGCTGTCGCAGATCGAGAAGGCGTCGGCGAGCGCCATGGAGTTCGCAACGGCCTTTAACAACTTTATTGCCGACGGCCCCAACAGTACACACTCGGACTTGATCAAGTCAGTCAATGTCTTTAGCAGCGCTCTGGCGGATGTGTGCAACAACACCAAGGGTGTCACGAGGCTTGCGACGGACGACAAAAAGACGGACGCCTTGATGAATGGGGCGCGACAGTCGGCCGCCGCGACGGTCAAGTTCTTCCGCGGCCTGCAGAGCTTCCGGCTCGAGGGCATGGATCCGATCCAGAGGACCGACGTGGTCATCAACAGCAACAACGACGTGCAGATGAACCTGCAAAAGCTGAGCAAGCTCGTCGAGACGTTCGCCCCGGGCTTCGGCAAGCTCAAAGGTGATCTGGGCGAGATTGTGGATAACGAGCTGAGCAAGGCTGCCGACGCCATCGCCGCGGCCGCCGCGCGCCTGGCCAAGCTCAAGAACAAGCCGAGGGACGGCTACTCGACGTACGAGCTCAAAGTGCACGACTCAATCTTGGATGCCGCCATGGCCGTCACCAACGCCATTGCGCAGCTGATCAAGGCCGCCACGACAACACAGCAGGAGATTGTGCAAGCCGGCCGGGGGACCTCTTCGCGCACGGCATTCTACAAGAAGAACAACAGGTGGACCGAGGGACTCGTATCGGCGGCCAAGGCGGTGGCCTCGTCGACCAATACGCTCATCGAGACGGCAGACGGCGTCATCTCGAACCGCAACAGCCCGGAGCAGCTGATAGTGGCGTCCAACGACGTGGCGGCGTCGACGGCGCAGCTGGTGGCTGCCAGCCGCGTCAAGGCCGGCTTCATGAGCAAGAGTCAGGAGGGGCTGGAGCAGGCGAGCAAGGCGGTCGGGGCGGCGTGTCGGTCCCTTGTGCGGCAGGTCCAGGCGCTCATCAGAGACCGGCAGGGCGAGGAGGAGCAGGTCGACTACTCCAAACTGGGGTCGCACGAGTTTAAAGTCCGGGAGATGGAGCAACAGGTACGTATCCTGACATTTTACCCTTCGTTTGACCTCCTTGCGTCAACGCTAACCATGCATCCCCCCCTAGGTCGAAATACTCCAGCTTGAGAATTCCCTTGGCGCGGCACGCCGCAGGCTGGGAGAGATGAGGAAGATATCGTATCAGGAAGAGTGAGGGCAGGTTTGGATTGGACCCCCCTCAAATCTTTCTCCCACATGCTCTCAACATGTGTCAGGTCGGGATTCCAACCTATGATATGATATAGTTTTTGGTTTCCTTTTTTCGGTGCAGCTTTCTTCGTGTTCTCGTAACTACACGATCCGGTTGAGCCGGCTTTCTACGCCGTGTCGGCTCAGTGCCTCATTTAGCCCCTGTCCTATCCTTCCGCCATATGTATCATTCTCGACCGACAAAGTCTTAGACTTTTTTCATTTTTCTCGGTTGCCTAGGTATATAGCAAGCCTCTAGGTATTTCTTTCCTGCGATCAATGTGTGGGTTTTCGACGTGGACCGCGATGGGCGCAGTATGCAAGGGGGGACTGAGTAAGAGGGACTTGTCATGGCCCCGCGATGCAAAGTGAACAATTCTTGGCCGCCTATTCAGAGTGCCTCTTCCGAGCTGCACACTGCTAGCATGTGTGGCCCCCTTAATGGAACGGCTGACCGCCAGACCGGGGCTGCTTTGCCGCGAGATTTGAAGGAGCCAGAAAAAGGAAGAAGAGACGGAAGAAGAAAGCTGGACGGGGACGTGCTCACGTCTTCAATCAACCACACGACCAATGGGGAGAGGGTTGCACATCGAGCCGGGGTTCTGGGAGATGGTCCAATGCTTTGACCATCGAATGTGTGGCTGTCGGTGGCTGTCAGTGGCTGTCAGTCCTGCAGCACCACAGTATCCAAGTACAGTGCAGCCCCCTCTGGTGTTTGTCCTGCGTGCCATCCCCCCCAACTTTCCTACTCAGGAAGGAGGCCCGTGCTGAAATGCGGCTGCAAGCCCGGACAGGGATGGGCGCGAGACTAGGAGTGGGGCTGCGCATAAGGATGTGGTCACGCCTGCCTGCTGCATTTGCCACCTTACTGGCTGCGACCCCTCCCCCCAGCCACCTTCTTTTTGCAGAGACGAGAAAACTCTGCCCCCCCCACAAACTAGTGCTAACACGGGGAACAAATTTCCAAGTGCACGTTCGCTGCTCAAAAGGTGAGAGCAAAGTGAGCGGCAGCCACAGCAGCCAGCAAAATTTCAGCTCGAGGTGGGGGGGGGGGGGGGGGGGGGAGGGGGGACGGGCCCGACGACCCCCGACCCCCGACCGACG